GCCCAGGTCTATTGATGACTCTGTAGTCCACAATCTTGACCCTCATACTACACGACCTGCACGGTAGATAGTTATTCACTTTGGAAGTGAGCTCCTGTCTGGGAGCCTATGATTAACTTAGACCCAATAGCCTCAGATTTGGACACACTAACCATGCCAGCAGACCCCCTGCGTCAGTTAGCTGTTGTCAGAGGAAAGGCGTGTAACGAACCACTCCTAGACCCAGTGCCTTAAAATAACAGTGCTGTAATCTGAAGGATCTGCACGCTGATGGAAGCTCTGCTTCAGGCTATGATAGCTGGGGGTCCACGGGGTGAGGCCGCGCTGGCTCGAGTGGCTCTACTGTAAGCTGCACATGTGTAGAGTTGGTTCCTTGCTCAGGTTCTCTCCCTGTGAGGTGATTCTGGGACTCAGCTTGAAGGGGCATCAGGTAGCTGGGGGAGGCTCTTTTGGTAGCAGTCGCAGAAATGCAGGAGGGCGCGTCTAACTGCGTGAACATGCTTCATACCCCTATTTGTGTCATGTCCACTACTGTGCCACTGTCCAAAGCAAGTCACTTGGTTGAGCCCAAGGTCAAGGGGCAAGTCATATGGCAAAAAGCATAGGCATGCAGTGGTGGTGGTGAAGAACTGATACTATTAATTCAACCTACCACAGCTGCCCAAATCTAACAGCTGCCTGCACAACACGTTTGTAAGCTAATGTGTGCATGTGTGCACATGCAGCTTATGGATGTACTGCTATAGAAACTATGAAAGAATTATACGCACATTGTAAAAATACAGAGTTTAGAGGCTAGTGGGGGAGGTAGATTGTAAAAATAGGTAAAAACAACTACAAAAAGGAATGTTAGAATTTATTTAATTGACTCTGGGCCTAAAGAATGTGAACACATGATAAGTCTCTTGGGATAGATTCAACATCTTTCCATAGTTAAAACAAGATGTTACCTTCTTCTTGAAGTTTCTTTAGCTCACAGAATTTGAAATCACGTCTTACCCTTTTAAAATAGTATTCAGTGTGGCAATGTTGAGAGATCAGTGATGTCAGTTTTATCGCTGACCCTTAAACATCTGTGCAACTTGAGAATTTGTTCTTTAAAAATATGGGGAAACCATGCAAGTGAAAACATTAGTTATGTTAGGGTGCTGTAAATATGGAAGGTAGCATTCTTTCTTTAAATAGTCTCAAATGTCAAATTGGCAATGCAGTTCTCCTAAGACTTAGCGTCTGATGAAGACCTTCAAATCAATTAAAACCATAGGAAAATAGTCTTAGACGCTGCAGCACCATCTTTTTCGATGTCCAGTGGATTCCTGGCAACTTCTAGAATAGTTAACCTTGGTGGCCTTGAGTTTCTTTCTCTTGGCCTTGGTTGTCCCTGGTCCTGCTCTTTACTCTGCCACCTTGTGGATTTTTTTGGAATTGCATCTTCTCCTGTGAGCCTTGCGGACTCTTCTAATTGAGATGGCTGCTGCTTTTCCTGGGCCAAAGGGTAGGGTGTAGAAGAGACCTCTCTCCACCAGAGTAACACATCAAGGTGGCTTTGCTTTTTCAGTTTTCCTATAGTCCCCCCTTTTGGGACAATATCCCCAGGGACCAAGCCAAAGGGCATTTGAATGGCCAAGCCAGTATTACCCTTGAAGGGCTCTTTCCACCTGAGACCTCAAACCAGCATCCTAGGGTGGGATACAGGCCCCTTATTTTCTCCATCAGTACCTCTCCAGTCCACTAGAGGTTTCCCTCTCTCTCTTCCTTCCTTCTTTTCTTCCTTCCTTCCTTCCTTCCTTCCTTCCTTCCTTCCTTCCTTCCTTCCTTCCTTCCTATTATGAAAGTAATACAAGCTCAGTTAGAGCTTACAGTCCAGTGGAGGAGACAGATTTTATGGGCCCCGCACGCTTCTGCTGCGCCACTCTGCTGGCCAGGAAGAGACAGATTTTAAAAAGTAAACAGACAGACAATATTTGCATGTTACAGTGAGTGCCATGAGATGGACAGTAATGGTGGTGGGGGCAGGGAGCCTTTGTTACATAGGCTGGGAAAGGCAGGCGTTCCTGAGCAAGGGAAATTTCTAACTGAAACCTGAAGGATGAGAAGGATCTAGTGGTTAAAAGAGGAAGAGCATGTGTAAAGGTCCTGAGGTAGAAAGAATTTGTTAAGTTGAAAGTAACTAAGTGGCTAGATTGGAGTGAGCTAGAAGGGAGTGGTCCAAGTGAGGTTGCAAAGGGCAGCAGGCACAGGGAATACAGGGTCTTTTCTTTTAACTGAATTTATTGGGGTGACATTGGTTTACAAACCATACAGGTTTTCATGTGTACGACTCAGCAAAACATCATCTGTGCGTGGCATGGTGCGCCCATCACCCCAAGCAAAGTCTCTTTCAATACAGGGTCTTGTAGTGCGCAGTAAGGATTCTGATTTTGTTCTGAGTCCAGTGAGAAAATAAAGAAGTATTCTCTTTTTTTTTCTCTTCAAAATAGTTTTTATTCAACAACTGCAAATAAGGGTAATATTCAAAGGAGACTAGTAAACCTCATTCTGATAAATAAGGCATTTCAAACCTTAGCAAAAAATGACATTGATGTCGATGTTGCCCTCATTAGGTTTACTCCAAAAACTAGTCCAGTGTTGTCTCCTTACTGGCAGTATTGCTTCCTGACATTTGTTACGTAGGGTCAATAGCGGTCCAACAATATTAAATGGAAAATTCCAAAAATAAACAATTCATAACTTTTATTTTATTATTTTTAAAACATGTAAGCTTTATTTTTTCCTTTTTTAAAAATTTTATTTTATTTTTCATTTATAGTTTGCATTTAACACTTTTTTGGTATTCGTTTCAGGTGTACAGCACAGCGAATAGACATTCATACAGGTTACAAAGTGAAGGAGGATTCTCAAGCAGGGAAGTGAAGAGGTCCAATTTATATGTTATATTTCTATTTTCAGAAGATCATCATTGCTGTTGCATGGAGAATGGACTGAAGTGAACAGGGAAGGAAGCTAGGAGACCATTTGGGGGCCTGGGTGAGAGGTAATAGAAACCTAGACTTGGCGGGTAGCAGTAGAGGTGGAAGGATCTAGACCATGGTGGTCAGTATGGTATTAACAAGCCACATGTGGCTACTGAGCCACATGCAAATGCAAATGCAAAATACACAGCAGATTTTGAAGACTTGGTACCAAAAAAAAAAAAATTGTAAAATATCTCATTAATAATGTTTATCTTAATTACATGTTGAAATAAGATATTTCATGTGAAATAAAATAGAAAAAATTTTACCTGATTTTTAATTTTTAAAAATGTGGCTAATAGAAAAATGTAAGCTACACATGAGGCTTGCATTCATGGCTCATATTATGTTTTTATTGGAAGCATCGATATAAACAAAAATTACTGAATTAAAAAATACTTTATAATAAAATTACATCAGACACTAGAAATTTCTAGCTAGGTCTAAGTTTTTTTTTTTTCTGGTCCACAGAAGATGTTTATTTGTTATAACAAAACAATACAGTTAGCATTTGATCCAATCACAAGGAACAAAAGGAATGAACACATTGACAAGGGACCTATAAAACCATGATGTTTAATGTGACAAATATGTGTTTTTAAAATAATACCCCTAAAATTCCTTAGTTATTGAAAACTGTATAAACACAGAAGGATGTTAATAGCAACAGAATACCTAAAACCAAACATCTCATTTGGGGCACATTAATACACTAGGCGACTTTGCTAACAATGCATGATCTTTTTTCTTGCTTACGATCCCTTCAGACTATATATCAACAGAGTAGATGGAACATTTAGATTTAGTATCAGTTACGTGGCATTAGTATAAACACAAGACAACTACAGACACTGGTGTTTTTTTGAGCATGCCAAGGAACCACACACAGAAACATCAGATCATTTCTCTGAATTGAGGATTTTTATCATGAAGAAATGCCACATACCTTCCAGGCATATTCTTCTAATACCTTTATTTAATGGTCTCTTCACGTGATACTGGTAGGTGATTTGAATTTAAAAGGACTTCAGCTTACTGAGATTTTATTGTCTTTGTAAAAATAGCAAGTGTGGAGTAAGGCTGCTTATGGTCTTATGACAGCATATTGCCCGAGGCTCTTTTGGGGCTTCACAGGAAGAGTGCTAGGCTTTCGAGACAGAGGACCTGGCTCTCCTTCAGCATCCGTAATGTGTGACTTTGGACGTGATTCCACCTGTCCGAATCTCGCCTCCTCATTTGTGACGTGGAGATGGAGCGTGGTGAGGTGTACTAGCTGCCGTGAAATTCATACTTCATCCCTCATTTGGATCACACCCCACAGGATAGGTGCTTTTTTCTCCCTTTTTTACAGGAGAGGAAACTGAACTTCAGAAAAGATAAGTGACTTATTGAAGGTTACATTGCTAGAAAGAGGGGAGGCCAGGGTTAATATTCTGGATACTAATAGGATATTAACCCTGGCTTCGCCTCTTTTCTGGCTCCAAAGTCAGCTAAAAAAATTTTTTTTCATCCTCTTTATGCCCCTTGCTAATTTCCCTGGCTGCCTCTCAGTTTATGGAGAAAGCTGAATTAGATTGGTGAATGAGCTTTGGAAAAATGTCATAAAATATGCCAATGTAAGAGATTATTAATTCCCAGTGAAACACTAGGTGCTACACTGAAGCTATAGATGAAAATGCAAATTACTGGATGACGACGTGTATACATCTGTTTAAGTGACATGGATTTCACATGTTTTCTCAAATTCCGGCTCTGAAAGTCTTAACAGAGGGATAACTTCCTGCCCTGGGATGAACATTTATAGGAATTCAGAGGAAAATATTTTCGTGGTCATATTAAAAACTCAAGAGTCAGATGTCCTTAGCATCAAACCGTAAGTGCTATTAGTCAAAGCGTAAACAAGCCTTGGGCTGGATGCAGCTTCCTTCAAGTAGGCGGGCTCACCGAGAGGGTGATCATTCCACGGCTGGCGAGGAAGGAGACGGGATGAAGACGGTCCTGGTGCTTGCGCTCTCCCTCGCCTTCCTGACTCTCTTCTCGGGTGAGCATGAGCTCCGAAAACTCATCCTCCTTCTATGCTCACATGATAAGCTGAAATAAGTCTATTTTATGTTTTTAATGTGTTTTTTTTCATTTCAAATAAGATGTGTGTTATTTGTATAAGTATATATAAATGTATGTGTAATAATTTGATATTTTTTTCTAAGAGCAGGCTTCTAGAATTGCCATGATGAGGGAAAAGTTCTTTTTTTATTTCAGTGTACATGAGCACTAACTCTCAAAAGTGCTGATAAATCTTCAACTAAACCTTTTTTTAGAGTTCATATGAGATCACCAACATTTGGTAGACATATTTGATGATACTTTTTAGAGTTTGTGTGTGATTATCAAAACTTAATGTGATGTTATCATTGTAAGATCTTCTCTGAGGGACCTTGTGTAATGTTGATCAGTTTAACCTGATCTTGTCATGGAGTATCTTCCAATAACAACTTTGACTTGATCTAACGTACTGGGGAATTAAACCCCCCCCCCCCCCCCCCCCACAAAACAAACCTAAGGGGTGGGAAACACATTGACCAGAGAACTGAAGAAAATGTGATTTAAAAAACATTGAATTAACACCCACTTATAAAAGAATGGGCCATTGCAATAGGTAAATATGTTTAAGCTGTGTAGACTGGTTCTGAGGTAACCGTATTAGAAACAATTTAGAAATCCTCTCTGAGCCGTCTGGTATGCCACGTCCTTCGGGACAGGTCCCCGTGAAAGAACTTTTGTGTTTTGTCTGAAATTGAACTTGCTAATCACTTGCCTTGCACTGTGAACTCAAGTGCCCTCAGAGTCCCTCAGGCCCTGTCCTGACTTTTTCAGGGGCCTCCCCGGTTGTGACGGAAAAGGAGGCCAAACAGCTCCTGCGGTCCAGGCGCCAGGACAGGCCAAGCAAACCCGGGTTCCCCGACGAGCCCATGCGGGTGAGTGCTGGGCTCAGGCTATTTAAAGGGAAAGTGCAATCACTCAATCTTCCTTCCAAACGAATCCAGACTGAGGGCTGGCCCCAGCCCAGGGGGCGCTGCAGGATCGAGGTTCTGCTGGAGACTCGGGCATAAGGTGACCTCAACCTCTCACCAACGCACACCTCACCAGCCCTTGAAGGGCAGGTTCCTTCACCTACTGCTCACACAGTATTTAAAGTGCAAAGAGTGGGGCTCATGGCGCAGCCCCAGGTTCTGAGTCGGCTGCTGGGTGTCACCCCTGAAGGGGGTGCTAGGGAGCTATGCCTGTAGCTGGTGCAAACCCACCTTCGCCCCCTTCCGCTTGGACACCGGGCAGGCTGGGCCAGCGCCCTTGCTCAGCGACACTCGTTCTGGGCAGGCAGAATCTCTGCTCCTGCTGCCTGCGCGGTTCTGCCCTCACCTTGTGCCTCTGATTTTGGCCTTGGCCTCAGCTCTGCCCTGTGGGTTTGTGGTACCTGCAGGCCGCACCCCCCCTCACTTTCCCCCATCCCCCGCCTCTATCCTGCCATTCCTGGTGGGTGTTACTAGAACCTGCCACGCTGGCTCCAGGCCAGTTCGGGTCTGGCTTGTCCTCCCCTCGCGTGGTGGGAATAATGACATTCCTGTTATTCGTGTCCCAGCCAGGGGACGGTGAGTCACGGTGACCCAGGCGCAGCCCGCGTGCCTGGGAGGCCGCATCTGCACCCCACCTGGTCTCTCACCCTGTGCGCCCTTCAGCTGGGTCCCGGGCGCTCCCTCTTTCCAGGCGTCTCCGTGTCGAGGTCTAGAGGGATCTGTAACAGCATTTACATTCACTCCCTGAAGGATCATGTGAATAATTTGATTCGCTCACTCAAAGGCTTTTATTTCGATGGTGTATCACACAGTCATGAAGAATCCTGACTGTCTGCGTTCGAATCTCCTCCTTTTCTAACTGTGTAACCGTGGGGACGTTTCCTTACATTTCTGTACCTCGGGACCCTCATCTAAAAAACGGGGTAACAACATATTTATTACTTACATTATAATAATAATGATATATAACAATGTAAAACAACTACTTCATGAGGTTAATATAAAGTAATTCATAGTAAGGACCTTAAAACAGTACTCGGCAAACAGCAACTCCTCTGTTGAGCATTAAGTACCAGGGGCCAGGAAAGGTGCAGAGGCTGCAGGTAGTTGCCTGGGTTTTTGCTCAGAGCTCGGTGGCTTTGTTCTCTTTGGTGGAAGAAATCAGAGGTGGCCCGGACTATCTAAGCGCAGGGAGGAAGGGCACTGGGAAGTGGCCAGGGGCAAGGCCAAGAAGGATTGCAGTCCCCTAGACTTTGCCTTGTGTTCAGGAGAGGACAACGGAGGGATTCGTCAAGCAGGGGAGTGCAGACTGGGGCTTTACACAGATGGTTTGGGAAGCAGTAAGAAGAGCAGAGGCTCCGGATTGAAGTCTGGGGACACCAGTGCTCAGAGGTGGGCAGAGGGAAAGGAACCTGAAGGGGCTGTGAAGGAATTCGGGGAGGTTTAGGGGGAACCCAGAGAGTATGGGGTCAAGCATGGGGGAAAGGGGTTGGGAGGGGCAGGCATGGGTGTGGGCAACATGCCTGGCTCCAGGGTCCCTGGGGGCTCTAACTGGTAAAGGCAGCAAGGCGCGGTTCCCAGGAATCAAGGGGCCTCAGACCCCTGGCTCCTTGGTCCCTGTGCCGTAGGACATGAGCCCCTATGGCAGCTCTACCCGCCAGCCCCTGCACCCCCTGTCTTCCATTTTCGACATTGACTTGGGTAGCTGAGCGAGGCAATGACGGGCAATCGCCACAGAAGGTCCTCTCAGAGCAGCCTGGAAGGCCCTGGCTGTTGCAGCAGAGCTGACCGCCATGCTGTGCTCCGTGGGGGCTGTCAAAGGACTGCGCAGGGAGAGACGTGATTAGAGCTGGTTTACAGGATGCAGCCTCTGGACGCTGGCCTTCAGGCATCTGTGCACGGCGCATGGAAAGTGACGCTTTTGGGCACACTGTTGCACCCCCTTGCCATGGAACCCGGGAGACAGGCAGGTGGGCTGGGACAAATAAGCAGAGGGAGTGATCTCTGGGGACCGTGCGTGCCCTTGGGAGCGGAGCCCGGAGCCTCGCATGCTCACCATCAACTTGAAATTACGAGAGATGACTAAGCCGCCTTATTTCATTTTGCTTTTCCCCTCTGAGGGACCGTGCAAAACAAAGCCTTTTTTGAGAGGGAGGGGCACCAATGAGGGGGGACGAATGATGCTTTGGGGAGGTATTAAGGATTCAAAAAGAAAATAGGCGTGAGGATTTGCAGTGGTCTCTCCCCAAGTGTACCTGTTAGGCAACTTTTCTCATTTTGACACTTGGCTTAAATATTGGCAGATGTTGGCTTCTGTGGAATTACAGGCTTCTTAAGGAAGCAGGTTCAGGGCTTGGACTGTTTCAACCAGATGTATGTGGCTGATTCCCTGCAACGGATCTTCTTTTCTGACTGTGTGGTGGGAGGGACAGAATGCTATCAGAACCATCGCTGATGTGCCCCGCGTTTGGGAAGGGCCGGCTTGCACCCAGAGGAATGTGAGCACTTTGTTGGCACCTTGCTGGAGGAAGGTAAGGCCCCAGCAGTGGTGGGGAGGGAGACCAAGAGGGAGACGTGCTCTGGGGACAAAAACAGAAGGGGTTTTGGATGTGTAAAAGCAGCTGGGGAGGAAGAGGATGAAGGGTGCCACGGTGGGGGGGGGGTGATGGGGGATGGGGGGGCAGGCGGAGAGAGAAAGGCAGGTGGGAGGATAAGGGCTCAGAGACATTCCCTGGGGTAGGAAGTGGATGATACAGTTATTTGATGACAAGGCCTGACATTGAGTTTGCAGTTGTTTCCTGCTTGGCACCATTATTATCCTCTGCAGCCTTCAAACCTTAGAAAAAGCCTGCTAGACACAGCAACCTTGTGTTAGTGGTTCTTTGGGGGAGTGAGGGATGGCAGGTGTGTGGGGTGAAGGTGGCTGACGAACGACGAAGGAAGTCACTCGAGTCTGGAGGCTGTGGTGGTGGAGAGATGGGCTATGAGACGAATTCAGGAGGAACACGGCCCCAAACCTTCAGAGGTTTGGGGGAGCAGGGGTCTAGATGTCACAGGAGTGGGAGGGGCACTCCTGGCAGACTGGGATTCCAGCGGGACATTCCACCTGGGACATCTAGGTTTCAGGTCTGCCGATTTGGCCTCTACCTTAGGACTCACTGCTTTGGTTCATGAAGACATTGTGGAGTGCTCCGGGGCATAAGGAAGCCTCAAGATCCTAAAAATTTGCCTGGGGAAAAACTGATAAAGACGAGGCTGTGTGGAAAGAAGGAAGGGCTGGGTTTGTATTTAGAGGTAAGAAGGTGGAAAACATATTCTGAGCTTCTCCTGAACATTTCTTCAGTCTTGACTGTGTGTATGTTGATTTTCAGGGTTTGGGTCTAAATTCTTGTGACTTAAAATGTGGTCCCAGACTGGCCTCTGGGCTTCGCGGAGCCTCGGGATCCTTCCCACAGCCCCTGAAGGCGATGCTGCCCCGCCTCGAGATCCCTGAGATCCAGGCACTCATTGAAGTTTAAGAAGTTCTGTCCTAGACAACTGCAGAGGTGCCACTTAGCCTCTGTTGCTGTGGCCCTGGGGACCAGGAGCCAGTCTGTGGTTGCTTTGTTTTGACACAGTTGATCTCCCTCCCTTCCTTCCTGTGGGCGCTCTCCCAGGACACCTCACGTCCACCCCCTGCTTCTCCTCCTGCTTTGTGGTTTCTGCTGCTCTGTCTCTTTTGCTAGATCCTTAGCCTCTGCCAGTCCTTTAAACATCTAGCATCCCAGAGCTCCGTCCTCCACACCGCCTGGTCCCGAGAGCTTATGCGTCACCTCTGCGCTGATGGCCGCCCACTCCTGTCTCCAGCCTCACCTCTCCCGTGAGCACCTGGCTCCTGTTACAACTCTCCACTCGACAGTTTGCACTGGAACATTTAATTGTCAGTTCAGGCCTAACAGCCCCTAGTGGAATTCCTGATCCCACCCTCACACAGCTGCTGCCCTTGCCTTCCACACCGCGGCAGGTGTACCGCCTCCTTCCGGTCGAGTGGACCCCAAATCCAGGCTCGGACCACCTCGCACCCTCCACTGCCACCGCCAGAATCCCTAGAGTGGACTGAGCAGTACTGTCTTACCCTGACTCCTGTTTCCTGTCTGGATCCTCAGCATCTGTTTTCAACAGAGCAGACGCAGTCAGTTCTTAACAACGTACACCAGGTGCCCCCTCCCCTGTTCAAAACCTTCCAATGACTTCCTGTCTTGCACCAAATAAAATCCATAGTCCTACAGTGGCCTACAAGGCCCTGGGGGTCTCTGCTCCCTCTGTCCCCGTTACAGCTTGCTTTTCTTGATGCAACAATATGATGCATTCCAGCTCATTTTTAACTGGAGCACAGTATTACATGTATTATGGCATGATTGGCATATTTGCGTCCCCTCACCCCCTGCAATTTATAGGTTGAAATCCCAACTCTGAAGGTGATGGTTTTAGGAGGTGGGGCTTTTGGGGGAGCTGAGATCATGAGGGCAGAGCTCTCAGCAAATGGGATTGGTGCTCTCATATAAGAGGCCCCACAGAGATCCCTCTCCCCTTCCACCATGTGAGGACACAATGAGACTTCTGTGACCCGAAAGAGGGCCCTCACCTGCCCATGCTGGCATCGCGATCTCAGACTTCCAGCCTCCGGAACTGTGAGAAATAAATGTCTGTTATTTAGAAGCCTCCCAGTCTGTGGTATTTTATTGCAGCAGCACCAAAAACAGACTAAGAACTATTACAACTTAGTTTATTCAGTTCTTCCTGGAACAATGGCCATTTCAGTTATTTTCATTGCAGACGAAGATCCTTGCACACATGCGTAATTTACTGGGTTTGATGATAAGAAAAGGTATCGCTGAATCAGAGGGTACTGCTCCATTGCCAAA